TCCCGCCCAAGGCCCGACCCGGACCCAGTTCCAACCTAGGTCCGGTCCATCCCTAAATGAACATACACATTTCTCGAAAAAAGATGAACATACATCCAACTTATCGCCTGATCCACCGCTCTGTGTTAGTGTATTGTAAGAATTTAAATTGCACAAAGATTGTAAGCTCGAGCTTCTAACGTGGTAATACTTTATATCCAAAGGTTCGTTGAGTATGTATGTTAAGATTTTTTTGACTACATAATATTTTTTTTTAACATATTCTTTAATTTCTAATTACAACATTAATTTGTATGTAGTTACTATACTCCCGTGCAACGCATGAGTATAAATACTAGTTACTTCTAAAGATTGAATTTACTCGTTACAAAAAAGAGAGGTTAATTTTTTTCTAAATATACCACTACTCTATTAATAAAAAGTAATGTTAAATATACCACTACTTTATTAATAGAATAAAGTTTATACAAAAAAATATTAATTGATCGAATTTACAAAATTCAATCACAATAATAACTTTATCATTACACTTTTTTAAATTATCACAAAATCAATACATGAAAAAAAATTAATGTTCAATAAAAAATTAATAAGTACATGTGTTATGATTAAAGTAAATATTATTTACAATAAAGCTCAATAAAAAATTGGATTTTTTAGTTGATAAGTCAAAAATGAGTCATCAGAATAGAATAAAAATTGTTGCCCAAAAGAAAAGAATAAAAATCGAACCCACATTTCCTCTTTTTCTCACTATAACTTTATCAAGTTGGATTACGGTAAATTATAGGGTATAGTCGGTTGTGCCATGAGCATTGTATACCGGCATTTTTGTAATTTGGTTCAACTTTCAGGTTATTAGTTAGATTAGTGATGGTGTTCCATCCCCCATTTTTTTCGCCGCACGCATGCACTTTTCGATCTCGCTGTGCTGAATCGTTTTTTAACTCTTTGTTTTCGTTTCTTTTTTTATTCTTTTTTCTTTATTGTTTGCTCTCCTTTTTAAAGGTTTGTTCTCGTTTCTTTTTTTGTTTTTTTCTTTAACATTCTTTCATTTTAATTTTATACTCGATTATTATGAACAATTATAATATTAAAAATTATATAAAATATTATTAAATGTGCCAGATTTTTCTTTCTTTATCCAACAAAACTTCTAACTTAAATAGTTTATTAGTTTATTAAAAATTTAAGATGAAAATTTATTAGTTTATTAAATATTGTGTGTTAATTACTAACATGAGTTTTGTGTTATACTAAAATGTGTTGTGTAAAATAAATATGGATGATTAAACATGAGTTTTTTGTTATGCTCATTTTTAAAATGTCATGTCAATGCATATTTCAAAAGTTACCATATTGCAATAGATTCGCATATTGAAGTTCAAATGAGTTGATTATAAATATAATTTAATATGTTTTTAGAAAAGAAAAAAATAAGAAAAAAATGTAAATTAGAAGATATGAAGCAGAGATCACGATGCTCATTGTTAGTCTTCTAATGCTCAACCGATAATGACTGATACTCACTAAAAGTAAATTAATGCTCATTTATCAATAGACGCAAATTTTAATTAAATTACAAAAATGCCACTAGTTGTACAGTGGGCACTGTATAGCCGTCTGTACGATATAGGTTTCCGTTAGATTACCATGTGACATAGAAAAGTAAGTGACAAATATTTTTAGGATAATTAAAAAAGAAAAGTTGATAATGTTTGAGGTTGGTATGTATAAACACCCTACACCTTTTTATATGATGCCATACCAACAATTCATGTATGTCAAATTAGTTAACAAGAAAATCATACCTACATTTTATATATGTGTGTATGACTTGCTCCCCAATATGACTTGTCTTTGAGACCATTCATCTCTACTACGTATTTCATATATTTTGTCTAATTTGTACGTACTATATAAATTTAGCAAATATGAATCATATATGTGAAGGCATGGACATAAGACACACGCCCGCCATGGGTGTATAAAGATTATTTTCTATATGACTTTATACTCACATTACCAAAATTATTTGTATTGGGTAAACATTAGGTTAGTTATGTTGAATATAATAAATTATTTGGATGGCGGTTATTTCATAATCTGGTTATCAATTCTTTAACTTACATATAGTTAGAATTTAATATTTTATTTCAAAGTTCTTCAAACTCTAGTTATTAGGTGTTCTCCAAAATAAACAAACCGAGTATATTTTATGAGAATATTCAATTTCTTCTTTTCTTAACAAAGTAAATAAATGAGGTAGCCTAATAATTAAATCTCAAGTTATGTAGTTTCATCACATATCAACACATTTTTAAAACAATGTGAATATATAATTCAGAGAAGTACAAACTGTAATTTTAAATGTTCGTTCAATTTTTTATATTCCTTTTGATGGGGAAGATTTGAGTCTTTTCTTCTAGGAAGTGGACTTTGGAAGGGGAATCCCTTCTATGTGCTTCTATTCATAGTTGTGGTGGAAGGGATGAGTGCCCTGATTAAACGCCAAAAATTGTTTGAACGGCTACATGAGGTATCAGTTGAAAGAGGTGCACATAGAGTTTCAAATCTTTTATTTGATGATGAAAACATTTTGTTTTGTCAAGGTAAAGCTTGGTGAGAGTTCATTGACATAGAATACTTTATAGGAGTATTCTTTGGCATTGGGGAGGGAATATTTTTTCCCAAGTCCATTATATCTTTTAGTGTGAATGTTACTACTAAATATCAAGTTGAGATTGTTGAAATGCTTTGTGTAAGAACAACTGATAACAATACTATTAATCATGGTTTACTGACATTGGTGGGAATCAGAAAGTGAAAAATTATTTCCTATATATAGGACAATATTTGCATGCGGGTTCAAAGATGGAATAATAAATTCATTTCTAAAGTGGGAAGAGAGTTGATTCTTAAGACGGTGATTGAAGTGATGCTTTCTAGGCCTGCATAATGTTCCTTTTGTCCCAAGAGTTCTTTTGGGAGTTGTGCAATTCATGAATGACTTTTGGTGACAAGGGGGTTATAATTGGAGGATCCATCGGAAGAAGTGGTTTGTATTATGCATATCCAGATGTATGGAGGAATGTGTTTTGAGAGGATCCGTGAATTGAATGTTTGGAGAAAAACACGAAGGTTTTTTCTAAACCACACTCGTGGTTGGTATATTTTTAGCTAGCAAGGTACATTCCAAACTCATCATTTCTTAAGTCAAAGCTGGGGAATAATCCCTCCTTTATTTTTAGGAGAATATTGCTATTAAGCGAAAGACATGATTCAAAGGGGTTATTGGTGGAGAGTAAAGGATGATCAATCTACAAATGTTTGGGAGGATCCACGGTTACTCAATGACAATAATACAAAGGTAATCTCTCAGTGTATTATGGGATTTTAAAAGTTGCAACGACCCATAGAAGATGACCTGCATTAAAAACCCAATCGGTCTAGTCATTGGGGCTGAGGTTCAAGACCGAGGGCCCAACGAGGATGACATGTCGGGAGGCCCATCCTATTGTGGGCCGAGTTTCACCTTCATGGCCAAGCAAACATATTCCTACTATGGCTATCACCCCCAGACAAGGTTGAATGATCCCTATCCGTCTCAGCTCGGCTATATCACCACTACTTAGCCATTTCTGGAAGCATCAGGTACACACGTAAAGGGTTTACATCACAACCACTTACGCTGACGAAACAAGATCACATCTTGAGGGATGACATCACTCCTAACAGCATGCTAACATTATATCGACACATGGCTCATACTGTGTCGACATCATCAGTGTGTGCCCTAAGACACTCAAGGGGCACATGTCATCCCCCTATTCGTTAGTATGTTTTGCTTATAACCAAAACTTTATATTTTGTCTATAAATATAACCTTCCCAAATCAGGATCCACAATTAATTTTGTACTGTTATTCTATAGAAATTAATATGAAACTTTCTCATTCTAAAATCTATTTAGCTTTATTCAACCCATCAAGTGGGTTGCTATTTAGCTTTACTCAACCCATCAAGTGGGTTGCTATAGATTAGGAGTATGAGATATGATTAAAATATGTTTTTTTATATTCTTGAAGATAAGGGGCGCTTGGTATATAGTATTCCTTTAAATAGACGAGAGATGTCTGACCCAATTGTGTGAAAGCAATATCCCTAAGGAAAATACTATATTAAGATTGCCTATTGTTTGCTTGTGTGTAAGGTTGTGAGCCTGGATAGACTCAATTAAATGGTGTTGGATATGGTGTTTCTTATTTTCCGTTATTTTTCTTTTTTCTTCTCTACTCTCCCATGCCACCACTCACAATCGCTGATCTATCTGCCACGATCCAAGCTCAACAACCACTATTCCCCACACATCACTTTAATTAATTTATCTAAATGCATCTTCTAAAAATTCCATAATACTCGCTAATCAAAGATAGTTGCAATTATTCTTTCTGAAAGTCTCAAATCACTCAACCTCTCTATGGATATGATTTACAGCCACATTTTACAGTTTTGTGTACTTTTAGTAGAATAAATATGACGCACCAATGCTCCATGCACAAAAGGGAAGTGACTTACAGAATTGTGAAAGAAAATCAAGCTTTTGCATAGTTGCATAGTTATATAAGTACACTAATGATCAAAATTTTCGTCTTATCATGTAGACATCAAAATACAAATGAGAAACTAAACAAGGAAGATGTACGTTTCAAGGTTCTAAGGGCATGCTCTAATGTGCATTTTAATCAAGTAGTAATGTTTGAGTTTAGAGGTCTCTACCGGTTCACAAGATCCTTTAACTTGTTAAGAACTTTTATGATATTATATTCTTAGCTTCTTCCTACCAAGTTTGCTATTGTATACTTGAATTCTAATATAAAGGCATTAATATCACTCTTTGCGAACAGTTCCAAATAAGAATACAGAGTATTTGGCTTTTCAAGTAGGATTTTTAGAATAACAACCTAATTCGAATAATTAAAACGAAGCACACATATTGGATTGAGACCATATGCAACAAAAATTCCATACAACAATATATTTGTCCTTTCCTTGTAGATCATAGAACAAAAATTCCGGATTAAGTTCGATACATTAAGCAGTAAGTACGATATAAGAAGATACTCAACTGGAAAAATGTAAATAGTGTAAAAGTCGATCCACATGTATTTAAAAACATATAATAAAAGTCGATAACGAATATAGTTTTCATGCTCCAGTATGGCAGTATGTGAGTTGTGGCTTAACTCATTCTTGACAATCCATTTTACAGTCCTCAGGCCATCCAAACTCCTCCAAGAGTGCCAATACAACTCCATTCGACCATCCAAAACCCGTCTGCATGTAATACGGGAGAATTATAGTAAAGTTAAAAAAGACATGACCTCCAATATCATGCAACAACAAGTAATTAGCATTTGAAGTGAACATATTAAACAAGGATGCAGCCTAGCTTAATTACTACTTACTTGGGCCACATATTCACCGCCACCTCCATATATCCCACATTTTTCAACGTCATACTTCTCATACATTGCGCCAGTTTTATTATAGACGGCGTAGTTAGTTCTTAACCATCTCATCGCAATATCCTTGGCTAATGACTTCCCATCATGCGTTCCTGACTTGAGAAGACCTTCCACAATCATGTGCTGCAATGGTGCCCAGCCATTAGGATAGTCCCTATTGAAAAACAAGAAGAAGTTTAGAGTACGTATCAAAAGTTCAATTACAATGAATAGCATGCACCTCAATCATCTAAATATGTCTTCAATGACTTGTCATCTTCATAGTTATTTTTTAGTTTCTATGCACTCTAAACTGCTGTTCATTTCAAAAGAAATATAGTTCATAACATTTCACTCTTGTTATATTTATTTTAATCTAAACTACATAATTTTCAAATTTCTTTACAGTGCTCTATCATTCGACAAAAGTTAGGACCAAATGGAATATCGAGTATGTACCACTTTTTGAAATATGAAGGTTGCGTTATTCTTTAGTACTACGGATAATGTATTTTGAGGTTCCATGTTAATTTTATATAACAAGTGACTCAATAACTTTTGTCTTTTGGACATTCATATTTTAGTGTTGCGAGATATTTTTACCTTAATTGGTTGAACTAGAGTATTATCTTGTTTGACATTTCTCCCACTCTTTTTAAAAGAAGACCTTCATTTATAACATAGAGAGTGCTCACTAGATTGTACATTCAACTCCGTTTCCTACTTTTCACCATTTATTTGTCCACTTTCTTTACAAAAGGAGGTTAAGATTATCTATTCCAATTCGTGAATCATGACACTCAGACAACTTCATGATGTCATCTTGTCATCTTGTGTATATGTCATGCATCTAAGATTGTACAATACAAGATGAGGCACAAAGTTTAATGTGGATAAATGATCTTGTATCATACAACAACAACATTACCCTAGGGCCGCAAAGGCTCCCACTTACGCTGGGGTAAGGGGATCGCATGTACAAAGCCTTAACCCTATACTAAATTACAGAGAGACTATTCTCGGATGATCCATGATAAATGACCTTGTATCATAAAATGCATAAAACTATTTTCTTAGCAGAGGGTTCATGCATCTCTTTGTTCTGATCAATTTTCTTCTGAAAATGCTCATTTGATATTTCAGTTGTTAATTTTCATTATAAAAAACTACTCATTTACCAATGTGTAAATCTGTGATAAATTTGAGAGTGGACATTGGACAATAATTTAGGTTTAAAATAAAGGTATGCTAATATCATTATTTACCATTGTTGTCCTGTCTTGTTCAATGTCGTTGCAATTCCTGCTGGACAAAGTAGCCCTGATGTTTTAAAGCTCGTGATTACCTTCTCCACTCTACCATGATCTACATGTAATATTCAAGAAGTCATTATGATAAGAAAATAGAATAATCTAATAGGCATTAACATGAGTGACACCACCTCTTAATCTCTCTGCTAAGAGAATATCTCATAGGAGTACCATTCAAATTAAGTTGGAGTTTGTTCAAGAGTACATCTTATATTGACTCATTAAATTACTCCTATTCCCTCTATGTCATTAAGAACATCCCATTTTTCTATTTTGATATGTGCCACTAAGATTTTATTATGTCAAAATTTGTAATGTTTAAGTAATAGTAAATCATTATTACTTCATTCTTACTTTATCAATTCAATAACATCATCATCATTACCCTAGTACCGCAAAGTCTCCCACCTACGGTGGGAAAAGGGGGTCGGATGTACGTAGTCTTACTCCTGTACTAAAGGACAGAGAGACTGTTTCCAGATGACCCATAGTGAACATCGCATCCAAAATTGCTTGGACTGACCGTTGCTTCATAACAAAGAAGCGCAAATAGTTTAGTGATTTATTTTGCTTTATTCCATCATATTCTCAAGCCCAAAAAAAAGTGAGTCTTTGACTCCATTGCAAATGATGGAAAGACTTTATCAATTCAATAACTTTTTTCATTTTTCATTTACCCCAGTGCCGCAAAGGCTCCCACCTACGGTGGGGTAAGGGGGGTCGGATGTACGCAGTCTTACCCCTGTACTAAAGCGCAGACTGTTTGTGTAATTGTTATCAATTCAATAACAATTACACAAATTTGTTTTTCTTAATAATTGCCCCACCTTCATTGGGGAGATAATGTTATTCATAACAGAGAAGAGGGTAGGCAACAAACCTTTATTAAACAAATCAATCCACAAGGGAATGAAATTTGAAGCAAAAGGTCCTTTGTTTTGGTTCAGTGAATCCCACTTATGAACACCCTAGACCATGAAATGGACATCAAATATCAAATCAAGCATCAGGATGACATAAAAAGAGATGCAAAATGAATACTAAACTCACCTCAGATATAATATTGTTGTTGTTGAGCCAGTAATCACACCACTGCCCCACTTCCTCGTTCCAGAATATGGAGTTAATTGAATCCTTTCTAGCTTTTGAAGCTTCATTAAAAAGTTCAACCAAATCTTTTTTTCCAAGAACACCAGCTAGAAAGCCAATATCAAGTTCCATCTGGGCCAACAAACCACACTCATTAGGTGAGAGAGAGGGAAGTTTAAAGGCAGAATTTCAGAGCTTCCTTATTTACCTTGAGAATGAATGCATTAAGATCCACTGGCAGAATTGACGTTGTGGCTAGTGTTGTAAGATCAGATCCATTCCTGCAATGGGAATTGATCGAGTTGGTTATATCAAAATTCTATGAAGCGCGGAAGCATCCTACGAAAATTCAGGTTTCCCAGGGAAACTATGAATCCCATAAGGAACTTCAAAACATTACATTCATGTTTTGAGCTCATTTCGGTAATTCAAAAGAAACGGGAAATCCGTTCTCTTAAATAATTAGCGTTTCGGAAAATTTGGGTTTCCGACTTTTTTCTTTTTGATCATTTGATGGAAGTAATGTCTTTTTAAACTCTGTAGTAAATTTTATTGGGGTTTCTTCCTAGTTCCTAGTAACATTTTTATATTTCATAACCAATGCATTTTTCAAAATGGATTGCCTCATATTTTTAGTTTTTTTTTAAGAGATTATTATATGTTTAGTTATGTACTAATATGTAATGATTTATAAATTAGAACATGTAGGTATGTTGTATTTATTAGGGAGTATTGGTTATCAAACAAAGTTATATGAAAAACATTGTGAGCATATATATATAAATGAAAAAACATGTACGTATACACATACGAGAAAATGAAAAATATTTATAAATATATCCTTATAATTGTAAATATCTACACGTTTCACTCATGTTTCGCATACTATATTTTTTAGAAATCTCATTTCTCGGGTTTTGAATTTCCTATTACAGTTTTGGTGTTTAATTTCTTGTATCCTGTTTCGGTGCTACTAACCTTAAAACTATAAGCAATCCCATGGTTCAAAATGATCACTGCGGAAACACATCTTACCTCATAAACCGTGAGGTGAAATCCCATCCAGATTCAGCTGTTGTTGCGATTTCACGATACAAGTGTTTTTTCTCATTCTTATCTGACAGTTTGAAAGCCGTTTCTTTGTCCTGTGAGATTATAGTTTCGTTTAAATTAGAAGATGACAATTATCTTAGGGGAACTCTCATATTCATGTAATTTAATTTAGAAATTTAAATGTTTTTGTCACACACACTTATAGGTTACGTTATAAGTCGGGTTATCTTACAATAGTTGACGATTCTGGTCTGGGTTCATTCCACATTGCATAGTAACGACTTAAGGTGTGATTGACTCCTTGAGGATCCTGAACCATCACTTTATGCATACCTTTTCAGTGACATCAGATCATATGAGCACATTAGGGATCTTAACAATGAGGACAAGTGCTTAAACTGGAATTACAATCAACACTTTGTAATGTCAAAAACAACTTAATACTTGGTTTAGTCTCTCACATGTGCACTGCTAGTGTGTACCCGTGCCCTGCCCGATAAGATATGTGTTTAAAGTTTTTGTTAAAATGGTAGGAATAATGAATTGTATGAGAATTCATCAATGAAAGTTTAAAAGTGAGTTTAATTGATTATGAATAAAGCTATCAAATGAATCATAGCCCATAAGAATGGCCCGTTTCATTACAAAATATAGAGACTAATTCATTGTAAAAACTTGCTCTAGTCTTCCTATCAAGTTAATAATTTATAAGGTAACTTTAACGAGCTAGTCGACTTTTGAAATTTAGAAATAATAACAAGTATATCTGTATATGAACAAAAGAAAAATGATAGATACAATGTGTCCTCTTATACAAAATACAAATACAAAGTGCTTATACAAAGTAACAGTTAGTGACTAAGTCGGTTCAATTATGCTTATAGTAATTTTAGTCATACTTTTATACATAAATTTATTTTAGAATAATTTAAGAAAAACTTTTAAAATTTAACTAAAGTCTTAAAATGAGATCAAATTCAATTAAGTTCAAATGACCCTTCAATCTGGTTAAAGTTAAAGGGTGTGTATCACATAAATTTCATTCAATTTGATGTGCGGTCATGTAAGATTTAATAACAAATCTTTATTAATCAACCCAAACTCTTTGTTCTTAATACACTAATTTCTGATATCACCAATTTGGGCGTTGACTATGAAACATGGACCTGATTTAGATCTAATTATAACCCAATTTAGTGATAAAATATGTAACTTGGATCCAATTATAGACATTCCTTTAAGTTGAGATAGTGGACCGGACCAGATACTGACGACCATCCAAGAGTAGGCTTGACCGGGTCTGAGATACAAGTTAGCTAGCAAAGAATCAGCCCAAGTTGCTTTATTGCTTACCGGGCTAGACGGTCCATTAGCATTAATTCTGGGCCATAATTGGGCCAGGCCGAATTTGTGATTTAGTATGGAGTAGTAGTAATCATATCCTTGTAAATGCTATAAATAGGACATGAGCTCACTTGTATGAATTGCTATCAATTCTCTAACTTATATCTTGCCAACACCCAACACTTTAACTTCGATCTTAAGATGTGTTATACTCAGGGGCGGAGCCAGGACACAAGTCCAATACAAAGAATATTTTTAGAAAAAAAATTACACGGATTTTTTGCACTAACAATATAGGCACTTTTAAAATTTGGGGATGAGTCAGGACCTAGGTTGGCTGTCCCTAGTTAGGCCCTTGGATATACTCAACATGATTTTGTCTAATTTGATATGGTTTAGTTGATGTAATTTGGTCTATTATTGTAGATGTTTCTAATCTTATCTCGTTAATTTTATGAAATATAGTAACTTGTGTAACAAGATTTGAATCATTATGTCTATTATGACTTGTTTGGTTGACAATTGACATAAGAATACGTGTCTGTAGTTTAGTAATTTCACAAAAAATTGATAACGAAGTTGAGTTGTTGTAATGAAAAATTATAAAGGTACACACTTTTTTATGTACACACCTTTTACACATGTCTGTGTAAGGTTTTTTTTATGTCTGTACAGACATAACGTATTTTAAAAATATGTTATGTCTGTACAGACATAAAAAAAACCTTACACAGACATGTGTAAAAGGTGTGTACACAAAAAGTGTGTACCCCAAGTCCAACTCATTTGTAATTTAGTTCACATAGATCTGAGCAGTACCTGAGTTCCAAAACTGATGCTCCCTAAGCAGCAGAGGAAGAGATTTGCTTACCAGGGAAGTATCACCAGTGTGCTTGTATATATCAACAACCATAGAACTCAAAAGAGGAGGCTGGCTGTACAAGTCACTTCAAACGTTGTTACATCATATTCGCAAATAAGTGATCACATATCTTATTGAAAATGTAGTAATCTAAATAATTCCTGCCAAAAATAGTTTGACATGAGCTATTTGACACGAAATCATCGGTAAATTCATGCCAAATTCGTGTCAATCATATAATTTTTTTGTAATGTATGAAAATAAGATGTACTCCCTCCGTTCCTATTATATCTTTCAACTTTCCTTTTTAATCCGTTTCAATTAAACTTCCATTTTCCCTTTTTGGTAAAGAATTTGTGGTTCACAACATTTCTTACACATTTCTCTTTCCTCTCCACAACTCTTCACCACACAATACCCACTTTTCTTAAATTTTGTGCCAAAGTAAAATGGAAGATATAATAGGAATGGAGGGAGTATATAAAAAGAACTAAGCTATCTAGTGTTTCAATCCTCCCCTGACCCTAGTGATCGATATTATCTCAAGGAAAAGGGGTAAATAAGTCCACGTACTAACAAAAAAGGTCAAATAAACCCTTATATAGGAAGCTCTTTCCGGCCGTCGCCATTTGGGGCAGTTTCCAGTGGAAATTTTTTGATATTTTTTTCAGAATCTTATTCATCAAGTCTAGTTTACTCACACCAAATTTCAGCTAACAATTCAATTGGGAAGACATTCAAATAAATTCTTCAACATAACTGCGCTTTGAACTGCACAGTTATATTCAAGAATTCATTTGAATGCCTTCCATATTGAAGTTTTAGCTGAAATTTGGTATGAGTAAACTAGACTTAATGAATAATATGCTCAACAGAATTGCATCAAAAATTTGCACCGGAAACCGCCCTAAATGATGATGGCCGGACATAGCCTCCTATATAAAGGCTTATTTGACCTTTTTTGTTAATACATAGGTTTATTTGCCCCTTTTTCCTTATCTCAATATAGAAAATAGAGTAAACCGCAATAAACGGAGTAATAATCACTTGCCTCCTGTTAGTATAGTATGCTCGGGCACCATTAAGAACAAAACCAAATTGATCAAGGAGAGACAGGAGATTATAAACAATTCCCGTTGCAGTTTCATACATTTTGCTAGCTAACAAGCCCCTGTATTACAAACAAAGTCAAGCAATCCATCACAATCACACACACAAAATTGTTCTAAATAGGATTAAAAGTCTAAAACATAGATAAATTGTACAAATAAAAGTACTATTAATTACAAAAAATATAACCAAAATAAAATTAGTAGACAACAATGTGACTGGTAATTTAAGTGACTATAATTGTATTCAAATGTTACATTATAGTAATCATAAACTTGCACATAGTAACTTATAGTAACATTTTTGTCCATAGATCGTTTATTGGTACTAGTAATATTTTAGGATAAACTTTATAAAAGTAACTGTATTTTAAGAAGAAATCAATGACAATACTATTTGTATACATTGTTTACGTGTTCATCCTATTAAGGGGTACATACACTCGAAATGATTCAATTTACTCATTTCAGACATTCTTTATGCAGATTTTACCCGTTTATCCATTTTCACCTATACTAAGCTCTCTCCGAATCACCAAACAACTAGCTATTGGGGGCGGGGGGGGGGGGGGGGGGGGGGGTATGATCATTTTAGGGTATTTTTTCATTCTAATATATTCCGTAAAAGATTAAATCGTATCTCTAGACAATTGGTGTGCTAGATACGGAGTATATAACAGTCAAATACTTCGTTATACAGTATTACTCGTATATGTTACTTCCTCCGTCCCATTTAAAGGTTCTCGTCCATTATTCTTCGATCAACGTGCATTGTTCTTAATCTTTTACTTTTTATATCAAAAGTTTATGAAATTTAAATTATTTTTTGCAGATTTTGTAGCGGTTTTAATGTAGTTTCTGAATATATGAATTTTATTTACTAAAATTAATTCTATTAATGACAGGCAGGGGCGGAGCCAGGGGGTCAGGATGGTCAGCCGACCCCGCTGAAAGTTTGAGAGTATATAACTCTGAAATATCTTCGATTTGATATATTATGGCCTCCGTAACTCATTACGAGTAAAAAGTTGTCTTCAGGAAAATCAGCACTATATAAACGTAAAATCAGCAAAATTTGATGCGTACTATAGATTTGTTGAAGTATATATTATCCCGACCTACTACTGTTCAGGAGCCCAATACATTGTCTCAGTACGGAGCCCGATCAATGAGACCCGCTTTCGGCCTATTCGGCCCACATCGGCCAGACAAGCCCACTTTGGCCCGTTTGACCCATTAGGGTGGAGCACTCCTCCCTTTCTCTTTAGCTAGTTAATACTCCATTAATGGGAGTTTGTACATTGTAATGTGAGGAGAGCATTAATAAAATGAGAGACATTAGCTGAAACAATCCCGTGATTTTCTCCCTTTCCGGGTTTCCACGTAAAAATAGAGTGTTCATACCAAATTATATCTATATTTATTATATCGTGTTGGATTAAACTCAACAAGATTATTTTCCTAAATTTTAAAAATAAGGTATAATTCACTCGATACTTACGTGACATGACTCAGAAAACAAAACAAAGACTATCTCTCTTAGTGATACGAGTGCCTACTTATCTAAACTGCATATGAAATATTCAACTCAGACATTGTTTAAAAATGATCAATCATTTTCATTCTGTATATAGGTTGAGTTTCGACCTCCTTAATCATTTTCCTGGCTCCGCCACTGATGACGGGTTCTGTTAACTTTTTAATCAGTCAAACGTTACGTTGTAAATAGCGAAAGAATGTTAAAGTAGGAGGAAAGGAGTACTACATACTCTCGTCTTATTAATTTTTTTAACAGTAATTATGATATTATATGTTACTCTTCTGATTGTTACTTTAAAAATGGAACACCCATCTTAAGAAATTCAATCTCTAATTTTGTTCAAAAGCAAAACTCGAGCTACATATATTTATTATCATAAAGTTTCGAAATGTTACCAAAGTAGAATCAGCCTTTTTTCTAATTGGGTGTGGCCGTGTAGGTGATGCATTAAAGTATCTTTGGTATTCACTAAAAAGTCTATAATTTAATTTAACTCTATAGATTATCTTTAGACGCAATCAATTTCGTGTTACGGTGGCTTTAATCAATTTAACATGAAAAGTAGCAATGTTTTTGCTTTAATCAAAGTATGTTGACAATATCAAAAGGGGTGCGAGTAAAACAAAAGTATGGTTGATACTTGATATCGTACACGGTTAAATTTATTGGCATACAAACTATATATTTAGCTTTTTTGCGTTTTAAACGCGTTTTAAATGCGTACAGGTTTTTTGATTAGAAAAACATGTTTAAAATGAAAAATAATGTCGACCCATTTAAAAAGGAAAAAAATTCTTACTTCTTGTATAAAACGTATTTTTCTCATATTTTACAAAAAACTGAAACATGAATTGACCAATTGAATGAATGCATTAAATGCACAGGAAAATAACAATAGTTTTAAAGTAAAAAATGAAAACCTCCTTCCCGTAAATCCGTTTTTTATTGTTACAATACAATTATTAAATACTAAAATTAATTGCATTACAGCTAAAGCTAGCATCATAAAAGACTAAAACTTAAAATATTACTACCTCCGTCTCGTTGGAAGATTCCCATAGCAAAACAACACAGTTATTTAGGTAATAATTAAATAAAGTACTTCGGGTATATTTTGAGAAATAATTTTAATAGATATATATTATAATATAGTTAGTATGGATAACTGTGATGTTATAAATATATTATTTTTAATATTTAATGATTAATTTATCATTTAAGATTAATAATTGTTTCCAAAAATGGAAATGCGAACCTTTATTTGGGACGTCCAAAAAAAGAAAGTGAGAACCTTCTAATGGGACGGAGGGAGTACCAGATTTTTCATGTTTTTCCAAACAAGCATATCAAAATAAAGGTTAATTTGTAACTAACATTTTTAGCATAAACTTTTATACATAAACAATAATAAGCATAACAATCGCACAACTAATTTTATCATATGTCATCTGTCATCTTGATTAAAATGATGAGTTTAATTTGTTGATCATATAAAGATAATGATTTTAACTTAATTGCATTATATTGTAATTATGCTTTTTTTGACACTTTTTGCAAAATTATGTCTTGGACTTAATTACTTGATTTTTTTACAAGAATATTACTAAAATAAAACATATTTACATAAATATGACTACTCATTACTACAATGTGGTGTTGCGGTAACTTAAACTCAAAATTTAAACATGAATTACTATGATTTCATTACTACTCTAGTCATTAGTCATATTTTTGTAAATCATCTTTATTTTGATCATATTTATGTAATTATTTCTAATTACTTTTTTTTTTTAATTTTGTCATCAACTTATTCAATTACGAATTATTGTTCTATGTAGTAATGAGAATCGTTACTTGAATGTGTATACTTTTTTTCTTTTCATTATACATGTTATTTTGTGAAGTATATGATTTAAATGTTCAAAATAATACCCTGTATTTTTTGTCCAATTTTTTTAACACATAACGTATTATACATGTATACGTATTTACACATTTTTTAAAAGTCAAAGTGTTTTTCAACAAATTTTTGACCGTTTTTTTCATTCATGTTACCGAATAAAACACGTACATATCAAACCTCGTTTAATTCTCGTGCCGTATTTAACTAACTAAGATAGAAACCGAAAAGACGGTCTAAGAACTGGAGTATGATTGTATGAACTGCGTATTATGATTGTATGAATACTCCGTATTTATTATTCAATTCATCTTAGAATGTGAGATACATTTGTATTTTTGTGGTTTAAGAAAATAAAGAGTATATCCTCAAAAACAAATATAAAGAGTATAAACTCTTTTATAATCGTAAAACAACAAAATAATAACGGGTATGTTTGACACAATTAGCTGAAAAGATATTTTTGTTAGTTTTTTAGTATTTGTTAACTTTTAGTGACTGAAAAAATTTAAAAAGAAAAGAGGATAGCATCTCAAAAAAGATCTTTTATTTTTTAAAAAACTCTTAAAATTTGTGATGCCAAACATACAACTAGAAGTTTTTTGAGACTTTTTAAATAGTACAATAATATCAATCTATTGTTTTATATAGTAAAACTGAGTTATGAATAGCTTATTTGTCAACTTATAGTCAGGGGCGTATCTAGCGTGAGGGCGGGGGCAGCTGCCCCTACTCAACCCCACCTTACCCCATTATATATATATCAATTTTTATTTGTGTATATATATTATTGTCTTATATACAGTATAATTATGTTTAAAGTCCGCAAATGACAAAGCTAGTATACTAGCTGACTGGACAGAGTGCTACACGTTATTACAACTGTTTAAAATTTGTGTAAATTTAAGATTTCAATTTTTTTAATGTAGCTACTAAATGATACCAAGTATGTCATTTTAATAACATCTTTTCACACTTAATATTAAAACTAGTTTATATGTAACTTAAAGGACTTATTACATATTTTATCCAATTCTTTTATATATTTGATTTTGTACTTAATAAAAAAATTAGTTTAAAATAATTTATTATTTTGTAATTTGAATCACATCTTTTCTCACATAGCATTAAAACATAATTGTTTATTTGTAACTTAAATTAGTTATAAGCTTATAAATAAATATTTCATTAGTTTCTTATAAAAATTTATTTTATTTTTAATAAATTGTGGAGTTTTTAATTAATATTTCTTTCCTAAAAATTGTGTGATAATGTTAGTGTAAATTTGTCGCCGAATTTTCTGGATACGCCATTGCTTATAGTGGCATATATATCCATTGATTTTTATAGTAATATTTTAAGGAAAACCACGATTATATATGCCTTAATGATCTATACATGATTAAAATTAGGAAAATTGGAAAATAATAATCTCAACTATTTCCGGTCCGCTAACAACAATCCCAACTATTGATTATTTTTGTATAATTCCCAACTATATGGACCGTCCGCCCATAATGATCCATGACCGCATATTCCTTGCTCTAACAAGTGAATTTTTAATAAAAATTAAGCGTAAAAAATAAAATTTGGGATTATTTATAAAAAAAATGGCGTCCCTATAATCATTGGACTTTTGAATTCCAAAACCATAACCTTTTCTCCATTTTCCAAAAATATGACAAATCTGATCGAAGAGGGCCCAACATATCTCCTTCCCATAGATCCAAGGCTCCCAGCGCACCTCCTGCGACTCCATTTCAATTTCCAGCGCAGAGGCCATCTGCTCCTCATCATCTGCTCGGAAGGGGAGCTCGGCCCACCGCGGCTTGCATCATCGTTGGCCATCTCCTTCCTATGCATCATCTGTTCAATCGACGGCGGTGGCTACGATTAGCGACGAAGGCGGTTACGAAGAGCGGCGGCGGCTACACCTGCTCCTCTCCGCCTCTCTCATTATCTTCTTCTCCTTTCTTGTCCACAAACCGTTGCTCGCTCTGCTTAGTTTCTTCTCCTTCTAATGGCTTCTCGAGCTTCACCTTCTCCAAGCCGCACCAACTCCTCCAACGGTGGAGACGAGCTTCGTAGATCTTGCCAGAAATTACATCCTCCCGCGGCGAGATCCATCCATCCAGTGACGTGCTTTGTCGTATTTAGGAGGGAGGAGTGGCGGAAGGCAGATCCTGGTCGATCTTGACCAGATCTGAAACTGGACAGGGCTGGTTTAGCTACGGACGGAGCAGAGAGAAGTGGCGGAAGACAAGGATTTGGTGTAGGCGGTGGCGGTGGTCCGGTCAGCTGGTGACGGTGGTCGGGCCAGACGGTGGAAGTTGTCTGGTCAGTGGTGGCAGCAGGCCACCGGCGGCATCGGCAGGTCACCGGATGTGGTGGTGGGACCGGCTGTCGTGGTTGACGTGGTAGTAGCACTGGTGGATTGGGGAGGGGGTTGGTTGACTAGGGAGGGGGTTGGTTGACTTGGGAGGGGGCTGGTGGTTTGGGGAGTGAGTGGTGGGCTGGGGAGGGGAGGGGGTGGGGGGTGGGACGATGGTGACAGTGACCGGCGGTCACTGAACGGAATCACTGTGACCGGTGGGGTCACTTTGGTCGGAGTCACTACGGCCGGAGTCACTGTGGTCGGAGGCACTTTGGCAAGAGTCACTTTGGCAGGAGTCACTTTGACCGGAGTCACTTTGACCGGAGTCACTTTGGCCGAAGTCACTTTGTCGGCGCCGGCAGTGGCAGTGGTGCCGGCGGCGGCGACAGGGGTGGTGGTGTCGGCGGTGGCGGCGGTGCTACGTCGGCGATCATAGGACTACTAATCAAATATATAAAATGAATATTAAAATGATAAATGTATGATTAAGCACAAGGAATATGCCTTTTAGTCATATTTTTGGAAAAAATTAATACAGGTCACAAATTTATCTTTTTCTTTCATTTTAGTAATATCGGAATAAAAAAACCTTATTTATAGCGGTTACCTGCTATATCACTTTAGAAATTATAGGAATTTATTTATAGTCGATCACGTCGGACCATTATTGGCGGAAGGTCCCTAAAGTTGGGATAATTCTGAAATAATCGATAGTTGGGATTATTATAAGTGGGCGCCAATAGTTGGGATTATTACAATCAATTTTTCCTTAAAATTATTGTCTATTGAACTACACTTTCCAAAAAAATATTATTGAACACGTACATATGTGTATAAATTATGGGATTAAATCTAAAATGAATTAGCTAAACTGTAATATAACACTCCGTATAATATTAAAAAAATTGATCACAAAGAATAAAGGAAAGCACTACGTATAGTTTAGTCGAAATGAAATTTTATAGCAAGTGAACAAACCTGATCACCCAGTAAGAATCCCAGTAATAAACCTCTTGAAACCGTGACCCGGGAATGATAACCGGGTTCTTCAACGGCAACAACGTGTGCAAATCGGGCCTCTCCTTAACTTTATCCGCCACTTTCCTACTCAGATTCTTCCAGATAAAATGGATCTCCAACGCCCATTTTCGCACCTCCGGGTTGTGTACTTTGTGCAAGAATCCCTCCGGTTTATCCACAAAGTCCACCGGGTCAGCGTACACCAAATCACGATCCGGACCCACCAAATGATCCGAAATAAACTTCTCCAGCTCTGCTTTGGGAATGGACCCGTTTCCATCATTTGGAAGCTTATCAAACGCCGTTTGGATCACCGAGAGATTTTGATTCAACGACATATCCACGTATTTCTTCGGGTCAAACCCGTCGGATCCGAAAGCCCGAAGAGCAGCTTCTTGCACCTTCTCCAAAAATGCGACCAACGGGTTTGTTCTCACAGCCGGGCCGACATCAACGGCCGGAGGTGGCGGTGTTGTCAAGGCACTGCTACTGTTCATGGCCATGATGGAGAAGAAATGAAGGGTAGAAGAAGCTGAGAGCTTTTCGCTATCCGGGGCTGGGAAGTAGTCGGTTTTAATGAGATGGAGAGGAAAGGTTTAGGCATATTTGAAAAAATGGAACAACTAATCATTTGTAGCACGTATAATTCTTAATCTCTATATATAAAATAGCATATTAGCTACTGTTTTGGAGGTAAAAATATCCCCTAATTTAAAGGCACAATTGGAATTGTATATGCAATTATTATAAAGATGAGATGTATTATTCGCATATATACCCTCTTATACGTAATTATAATGTAATATACGGAGTATTAATTACCGATACAATTTTAATTGCCCGCATAAATGCTGATTAATTGACTTTCAAATGTCACATGTAAGCATTTACGGAGTATTAATTACCGATACAATTTTATTACCAATAAAATTATGGAGTAGGTAAATATAGATCTAATCACAATCAACTTCGTCAAAATTACCTCCAAACGACGAATCTAGTGGAACTTACACTAATACACCACCTGCCTCTTCGAGATTGTTCCTCCTACCACATGAATACGCTAGTTTCATTATCATTCGTCCTCTCCTCAACCACCAAGCTACTCCGTGAAGGTAGGAAGAATCATGAGAACAATATCTCCCTCATCTCTCTTAAGTGAGAATTGGACCCAAGACCTCTCACTGCATAGAGACTTGGGGGAGGGTGGTCACGTAGTGACCCACACTAACCTTCCCGTTAAAGATTGTTTTCTAAAAAATAATTGTGCACTGATAGAGTATATCTAGAGAGAAGTGAGAGCTAGAGAGAGAAGTGCAATAATATGCTTCAATAGAATGAATTTGTAACCCCTATAACTACTCCCAAAGGGAGTATTTATAGAGAAAATACGGGCTGGGCTCCCAAGCCTTGGGCTTGGGGGGCCCATTTACAACTGGACCGTTACTGGGCCGAATACAAAGCCACTAATGGGCTGTACGAATGAGTAAGTATAAAATCCGGTTCTGTGAGGTCTTCGTGGCCGACGAGGGCGTGGCCGACGAGGGCACCCGGGTTCTTTGGGCTCAGGACCATAATCTGAGTTGGCACCTTCTCGGCCGACGGGGGTCCCTTGGCCGACGTGGGCGCCACTCGGTGTCTTGTGCTTTCTGTTCTTCCGAGTATGTGGGTCCAGGGGCTCAGACCCATATACTCCATCAGGAGTCCCCCACTCTCTAAACTGAGACGTAGACGAAGTGAAGGAGAGTAGATTCTCGTGCTTTAGTGCTTTTGGCCGATGCGGGCATTCCCAGGCCGTTAGTTGTTGCGGCGTTGGCGCTGTTTCCATTTTGGTGATCCTGTTCTGTGCTTTGGCCGTTACCTGCTCCTTGTTGTGGGCGGGGGAGGCCGTTGCTTCCTTGATGTGTTTGTTTGGGGATGATAAGTGTCCTGCTTCAATGGTGGCCGTTGAAGGCACGCTTCCCTTTCTTGGACGTTGGTGATTGAAGTTTATGTTTGGGCCGATGAGGCCACTGAGTTTGAACCCTGCTTTGAGGACGATGGCGTCCTTTCCTTTGGGTGGCCGATAGGGGGTGTTTGCGCACCCCTTTTGGCCGTCGCTGATTGGCTTTCGTGTTCTTGGCCGAAGAGCCCATCATGATTAACTGTTGGCGGAGGACGATGAGTGTCCTTGCCTTAGGTGGCGAGTTGGCCGTTGCTGATGACGTTGTGTGCCTTTGGCCGACGAGGCGCAGTGTGATACATGGCCGATGTGACCATGCTTTGTGGTTACATTTGTGTTTGCATTTTTCCTTTTGTTTTGTTGAGGCCGGTGTAGTCCCCCAGTCCCCCACTGCTTCAGGCCGAAGAGTGTGAGGGGTGAAGGAGTTTCTTGAGTCCCTGGCCGAAGCAGCCTCTCCGTAGTCCCCCTGAATCCAACCCTCATGGCGATTTCCTGGCCAAGGTAACCCTGTGGGAGAACCCTTGTGCGCAGATCGCTTGTAGAGAGTTATCATCAAGGGTCGTTACGGGGAGCCGATGGGCATTCATGTCATTCCTGGCCGTTGTCATCTCCTTGTTGGCATTTGTGAACTTGGCAAGCAAATAGGACGTTGTGGGCGCTTGCTGGCACTCGTGAAGCCGGCAAGTGTATAGGCCGTAGAGTCTGTTTTGCCAGTGGGCTGTTGATATGTGGGTTGGGCCTGGCCCGTTGGTGACGTGGTGGCCTCCCATTGGTGGCCGTTGATGTGGCCATTGGGAGGGCGCCACGTGTAGTGACCGTTGGTTGGGGGGGTTCTATAAATACCCCTCCCCCTCCGACGAGAAACCTTATTTGCATTCTGAATTGTCGAAGTGCTGGCCAATTTTCTAGAGAGATAAACTCCCAAGCTTGTTCTTCGTGTTCTTCGTGTTCAAGGTTAGTGTTCATCGCCATCTTCTGTACTTTGCATACTTTGCTTCCTAGGCTAGTGATCTAGTGTTTAGGCGTTTGAACACCCTTAGATCCTAAGTGATTCCTTTTAGGCTCGTAGTAGTTGTTATGATGAAGAGTTTGAACGAAGACTACTATCCGTACGACGACCAGCCCTCCACTAGGTCACTCAACTATGAGGTGCTCGAGGAGTTCGAGGAGGAGATAGAACATTTAAGCCCTTATAAGTCCGGGGAGCCGGTGGACGACGAAGGTGAGGACGAGGAGTCCGCCTCATCTTCAAAAGGTGAGGACGCAGCTGCGTCCCGAGTGGTGGACGGGGCGTCCACTTCAGCTGTTATTCTGTGCCCGAGGCCGGTGTCCGCCGTTAAGGGAGCCGGTAAGCCGAAGAGGATAAGGAGGCCGAAGAGTGGGCCTGGCATCTCCTACCTGGATCTCACAAACATCTTTCTGATCAAGCCAGAGAGCAGCGCGGACGACTACTTGGTTGCCCAGATGTACGTGGGGCCGTTCGCGCGGGTTAGGGCACCCAGGCCGACGGACCATGTTCTTCATCCGCCACCGGGATACTTTGGAGTATACCCGATGAGTTTCGCCAAGGGGCTGAGGTTTCCCCTTCACCCCTTCATCACTGAATACCTTGACATGGTAGGGCTCCCTCCGGCCTTGTTGACGCCGAACAGCTATTCTTTGATGGTGGGGTTTTTGCTCCGCTGTGAGGAGCTGGGCTACAGGCCGACGACGGCCCTATTCATGAATCTGTATCAGATCGGCCGAGGAAGCCACAAAAACTGTGCGGCCTATGCTACTCTTCAACAGCTACCGAAGAAGAGGAGCTTCACGGACTTGCCTTCGTCCATTCATGGGTGGAAGAGCAAGTTCGTTTTTGTATCCCTTGGTGAGAGTGGCACCGAGTTTCCCTCTCTCGGCCATACCGGGAGGTTCAATCTGCATGACCCGCTGAAGAGTTCTATCTTGGACGCTCAGGTGGAGGCTTTCTTGGAAGGGGGGCCGAGGAGCGTGAAGGATTATATCACTGAATACAAGATGACCGCCCTCGGCTTCTTCAGATACCATGTGTATGGCGATAAGGAGGATGATATCCAACTCTAGCCGAGGATGACCACCACCTTCGAAGAGGCCGACGACCCGGATTTGGGCATTCCTGCTGAGGCCGATGGTAATTATTTCTTCGGCTTTCTGTCTTTATGATTTGTTCTTTTGCCTTGCTAATCTGTTGTTTTTTCTTTGTGTAGATTTCGTCATGGATCGTCGTTCCATCATGGCAATTGCTAAGGCCAAAGCGGCCGAGGAGTTGGCTGTAAAGGCGGCCGAGGTGGCCAGACGTGGCGCGGTCGAGGGAGGCGGGGCTACCGCTGGTGCGGCCCTAAAGCCTGCCCAATCCAAAAAGAAGAGGCCTCCTACTGACGGCCAGAAGAAGTTGACTGAGGCCGGCCTGAACGTCGCCAAGAAGACGAAGAGGGCACCGTCTCCTTCCCAGGCTACTGAGGCCGGCACTCTTACCGTCCCCAGTGTGGACGATAGTGGTCCTGTTGTGGACCTCACTGCTGCTCCCAGCGATGCTGCCCAATCGCTTCCTCTCGTCCAGGAGCCGCGGACGAAGAGGGCTGGCAAGGAGATTGCCGCTGCCACCTACCAGAAGGTGGTGAATACCCCGTCGGTGGGGGTGTGTTTGACGATGCCGTCCTTGGCCACGATGTGCTGGCCCAGGCCATGCCGACCAAAGATCAGGCCTACCTTAAGAAGCTCGGGGACGTGAAGGTGTACGAGGGCAGGATGGACCTCCTCGTCCAAGTAAGTTCTCTTCCTTCTTATGTGTCGTTTTTGTCGTCGTCCGAGTGGAATTATTTTTCTGAGCCTTTGTTTGCCTTTTTTGTGCAGAGTGCCTTTATGCTCATGGAGAGCCACAAGAGGCAGTATCGGGAGATAGCTCGTCTGAAAGAGCTTGACCAGAAAGCTGCCTCGGCCGATGAGGCGGTTGCTTGCTTGGATCGGCTCCGGGAGGATGCCAAGGCCTTGCAACAGAGGGCCGATGAAGCCGCTGCAGCCAGGGACGATGCCCTGGCCAAGCTCGAGGAGAGCCAAAGGGCGCTGGAGGCCGAGCGGCGCAAAAACGAGGAAGCCGTGAAGGCGAAAGCTGAGGCCGAGGCTGCCGCTGTGAAGGCTGCTGATGAGGCCGTTGAGCAGTTCTTGGCCGAGGGGTGGAAGGCCGATGAGAGGCTCCCATGGTGTTATGAAGTGGTGGCCGCCAGGCTTGAAGATTGGGGGATGAACTCCCCCGCCGGCCAGGAGTATTTCAGCAGGGAGATGGTCGTGTACTATAACATGGGCCAGGAGCGGATGCAGAGGCTCCTGTGTCGGCGGCTATCTCGTGCTCTGAAGGCCATGAATTACACATCCGGGTGGGCTAGACGGAACTTGAAGCTTCCAAAGCTGATGAAAGATCCCGAAGAGCAGGCCAAGCTTCCTCTGTCGGAGCGGGAGTCCCCTATTGAGAGTTCCGGCCTCGGTGAGCTGGATTACACGGAGTTTGATTTTCTGGACGATGCCACCAGTGTTGCGGCTGCCGGTGGCCAGGAGGCTGAGGCCGAGGATGGAGCCAACGACGTCGAAGAGCCAGCCGAGGATGGAGGTGCTCAAGAGGCTTGATCGGCTATTCCCCGCTCCCTTGTAATTAGTTTCGCTTTTTTGCCGAATTGATGTAATGGCCGAAGCGCCCCCCTTTGTACTGAATTGAATATAAATGAAAATTTTTGCTGTCCTGATCGGCTTTGAATTCCTTGTATGCTTATTGCCTTTTGTCATTTCCATTCTGAAATTTGTCTAAGTGTCAAGGTTACAACTTGGGTCACCCGCGAGTGTCCGCTACGTCCGTGAGGTAGTCCATCCTGTCCGGTGGCCTGGTCGGCCTGGCCGTCGTTTCTTTACTATCATAACACTTAGGATTTATTCAAAAAATTTCCTAAGTGTTTTGGGTCCACGTAGTTGCTTTCTTTCCGGCCTGGTGGCTTGGTCGGCCTGTCCGGTGTTGCTGTACTATCATAACACTTAGGATTTTTTTAGAAATTTCCTAAGTGTTTTGGGTCCACTTAAGTGCTTCCCTTTCCGTCCCTGACCGTGGTGTCCGTTCCGTCCTGGCGTTGTCTCATTCTTCTTTTTTGTTAGAATTTTTCTAAGTGTTTAACTTCAAGTGGATGGGTGTTCTTATCGTCCTGGTATTGGATTTCTCCTCATTGTTGACAAATGCTTTGGGAGATTTCCCAGGTGTTGAACCAATGTCGTTGTCGGCCCATGAAGGTCGGCCTGCATCCTTGTGTTGTGGCCGATAAGGGCACCTTCACCTTGCTCTTTTGAACTTAAAATTTTTTTCTAAGTACACATGCAAGGCGTAGGTAGCTAACGACCTTGGAGTATACAGGTACCCGCTTCGTCTAGAGTTCCTCCATTTAAGTACTTAGAGAATTTTCTAAGTATAAATGTAAGACATAGTTCCTTCTTTGTGGTACCGCTGCCGGCTAGGAGGTGGCCCTACCATCATCGGCCCAGGTCTGGCTTTGTGGCCAATGAGGGTGCCCCTTGCTTTCCTCAAGAGAAGGCCCTACCTTCATCGGCTAAGGCATAGTTCCTTCTTGAGGAACTTTTTCTTCAGAATTTTCTCTAACTGTTTGGTAGACACTTGAACAAATTCCCAAAGAGCTTTCGCTTGACCAACGACTTGGGTTCCAGTGCCTGTAATGGCTATCCGGGATGCTGTGGCAAGTAGGGATTGTTTCTTGATTGCTTGATTCTTCCGTGGGTGTGATAAGTGCCCGCTTCGTCCTGGTCATCCTCAGGATTGTGATTCTTTGTTTCATACCAAGCGTTGGTGTTTCAAAGGACTGTGGCCGATGAAGGTTACCTCTCGCGTGTCACCCAACCGATTCGGTTAGGGTTTTATAAGCGTATGTTTCGGCCTTGACCATTCCCTTGTGGTGTGTGGACGTGTCGTCCATGTTTACCTGTCAGTGGTACTATACTTGTGTTCAACTGATATGTACTTGGCCTAGTTGGGCCTGAGTTGTGGGGATTTTATTTTTTCATTGCTCGAGGCCGGCCAGTGTGCACGGCCGTCGGCTTCCCTCTTTTTCCCTTATATATATATATATATATATATTTTCTTTCGGGGAGTATCCTTCTTTCAGGCTTCGGCCGAAGGGTGTGCTCGTCCTTCGGCCGGTTCGGACTTCGTTTATAACGTCCGTGATCTCAGGGCGGGTCCCGTCGCCTATTTATGACGCGGGCTAGACTTTTGGTCGGTTTCCAACGGCTGTCGTTGCCCATCCCTGAGTTTTGGGATTTTGTCACCTCGGCCATGATTTCAGGCCCGTCGTCCTGCGATCTGGCGCGTGGACGACGCGGTGAGCTTCCCGTTTCAAGATGTGGGCCGTTTGCGGGCCCCTCGTCCTGGGGACATCGTCGGCCATACCTGAGCGTTTCACTTCTAGGCTTACGGGGCCAGGACGATGTGCTCTCTCAGCAAGGCCTGAGCCCTTCGCTGATACAAAACACAATGGGACGCCTGATCTTGTTGATCGTAGGCTGCAAGTGCAAGGGGCCCCCGTCGGCCATGCCTGAGCCTTTTGCTCTGAGGTGGCCGATGAGGGCACCTGCTAACGTTGTTTACATTAAATTCCAGAGAAAAAATCAGGAGGAACATGATTTTATTCATAAGTGGCTCGAGGCCGAGGGTGGCGTTCAATCAGTAACCCGTCAAGGGGTGAGGGCTTCGCCGTCTGCACCTCCTTCGGATTACTGATAAAACTTCACCAGATGGTGTACAGTCCACGTTCGTGGTACATTGGACCCATTCGGGCGTTTGAGCTTGTAGGTGCCGGGTTTGACCACGGCACTGACGATGTAGGGCCCTCCGTACTTCAACGCTAGCTTGCCACCCTCTGTCGGCTGGCTTGCTTCCCTTCGGCGGAGGACGTAGTCCCCCACCTGAAATTCCCGGGAACGTACCTTGGCGTCATAGTATGATTTTACTTGACGTCGGTAGTTCTCTGCTCGGACATAAGCTTGCTCACGCCTCTCATCGACCAGGTGTAGGTCAATCTTCATGTTCTCTTCGTTGGCGTCAGGCTCATATTGTCCCACCCGTCGGCTGGGGATGGCAACTTCCATGGGCGCCTTTGCCTCAAAGCCGTAGCATAGGGCGAAAGGCGTTTCACCTGTCACCCTCCTCGGCGTGGTTCTGTAGCACCACAGGATGTTGGGGAGCTCGTCGACCCAACTACCTCCTGCGGCCTGGAGCTTCTTCTTCAGCCCCTCCATGATTGTTCTGTTGGCGTTCTCGACCTGCCCGTTGCCCTGAGGGTAGGCAACGGAGGAGAAACGATGCTTCACCCCAAACTCCCGGAGGAGCTCCTGGAAAGGGGCTGTCTCGAACTGGGTGCCGTTGTCTGATATAACCTACTGGGGGACGCCGAAGCGTGTGATGATGTTCTTGTTAACAAATTTTTGGCATCTGGCCCCCGTGATGCTGGCCAGGGGTTCCGCCTCGACCCACTTGGTGAAGTAGTCGACGGCGACGATGATGTAGCGGTTATTCCCGGCGGCTCTGGGCAGGGGGGCGACCAGGTCAATCCCCCATCTAGAGAATGGAATTGCGGTGCTGACGGGGGCGTAGTTGACGGCTGGCCGACCAGGGGCCTTCTGGAGCACCTGGCATGTGGTACACTTCCTGGCCAGGTCAGCGCAGTCTCGTGCCATCGTCGGCCAGAAGAAGCCCTGGACGACGAGACACCGGGACATGCTGAAAGGGCCCTGGTGCGAGGAGCAAACACCACAATGAACTTCTTCCATGGCCACGTCGGCCTCATCCTGGTGGAGGCATCGAAGGAGAGTGCCATTTTAGGATCGTTTGTAGAGTTTGCCATCTTCAATGGTGTAGCTTGGGGCCCTGAGTTTGGCAAGTTTGGCCCTCTCCTCGTCCGGGGGCAGCTCCCCCGTCGTGATGAAGGTGACGATGTCGGAGATCCAGTCCTCGGGTCGCTGTTGGACGCACAAGACGGGGCTGACATGGATGCTGGACATGCTCAACTCCTCGATCTTGGCCAACCGGGAGATGTGCTCCGGGGTGTCCGAGCTAAGTTTGGAGAGGATGTCGGCCTCGGCGTTCTCGGCCCTTGGGATCTGTGTGATCTCGTGGGTTTCGAACGCCTTCAGCAGCTCCTCCGCCGCTTGTTTGTACTGCTTCATCCGGCCTTCCTTTGCTTCGTACGAGCCTTCCACCTGGCCCACTACCAGTTTGGAGTCGCACTTGATTTTGAGGTGCTTGGCCTTGAGGCCGGCAGCGAGTCTGAGACCGCTGAGGAAGGCCTCATACTCGGCTTCATTGTTGGATACCCTGAAGTTGAAGCGGATGGCATAGTAAGCTCTGAATCCTTCAGGGGATATGAGGACGACGCCGCCACCGCATGATTTAGCGGCCGACGAGCCGTCAGTGAATAGGATCCATGTATCGTCCGGCTCCGGCCCGGGGTTGGCAACGGCCGTCTCCCTTGCTGTGCATTCAGTGACGAAGTCGGCCAAGGCTTGCCCTTTGATAGACGGCCTTGGCTTGATCTCAATTTGAAATTGGCTGAGGAAGATCGCCCATTTCACCATCCTAGAGGAGCTGGTGGGGCTCCTCATGAGTGCGCCGAGAGGCTGCTGGGTTAGCACATGGACGGCATGGGCCTGAAAGTAGTGTCCCAGCTTCTTTACCGTATGGACGATGGCCAGCACCGTCTTCTCAATGGGGGAGTACCTGAGCTCGGCCTCCCTGAGTGTCTTGCTGATGTAGAAGATGGCCTTTTGCACCCCTTCGTCCTCACGGATGAGCACAGAGCTGATGGCCGACGTGCTCACCCCTAAGTACAAGAAGAGGGTTTCGCCGGCTTTGGGCTTGGAGAGCACGGGTGGGGACGACAGGTACCGCTTCAATTCGTCGAATGCCTCCTGGCACTCCGTCGTCCACTTGAAGCTGTTGGCCTTACGCATGATCTGAAAGAAGGGGAGTGCCCTCTCGGCTGACCTGGAGAGGAACCGGTTCAGGGCCGCCAGGTGCCCCGTCAGTCGTTGTACTTCCTTGACGTTACGGGGTGGCTCCATGTTGATGATAGCCTGCGTCTTCTCCGGGTTTATCTCGATGCCTCTCCGGCTGACCATGTAGCCGAGGAACTTGCCGCCCTGGACGCCGAATGCGCACTTCTTGGGGTTCAGGCGGAGCCTGAACTCCTTCATGATTTCAAATATTTCCCGGAGGTCGTCGGCGTGGGAGGAGGCCTGCCTGCTCTTGACAATCATATCGTCGACGTATGCCTCCATCGTCCGGCCAAGGACCGCCCTGAAGATCTTGGCCACCATCCTAATATAGGTGGCGCCGGAGTTTTTGAGTCCGAAGGCCATGACGAGGTAGCAAAAGATTCCTTCCGGGGTCATGAATGCCGTCTTCTCAGCGTCATCTTCATGCATGGAGATTTGGTGGTACCCTCTGAAGGCGTCAAGGAACGACATCAACTCGCACCCCGCCGTCTCGTCCACCAGCTGATCAATGTTGGGGAGAGGGAACGGGTCCATGGGGCACGCCTTGTTCAGGTCAGTGTAATCAACACACATCCTGAATGTCGGCGGTTTCTGGGCGAGGACGACGTTGGCCAACCACGTCGGGTATTTCACCTCTTTAATGTGTTTGATTGAGAGGAGCATGGCGACCTCCCCTTTGATGAAGTCCCGTCTGTCGGCGGACAAGTAGCGTCGCTTCTGCTTGATGGGCGTGGAGGCCGGATCGACGGTCAGCCGGTGAGTGATCACCTGGCGGCATATCGTCCGGGCCCCACGCGAAGACAACGGCATATGACCGTAGGACGAGGAGGATGGCATCTCGTTGGTCCCGGGGGAGCTGCTTCCCGATCCTGAGGACCCGCTCCGGCCGGGAGGTATTCAGAGGGACCTCCTCGGCCGGCTCAGCATGTGGCCTCTCCTCGTCCTTGGCAACGGTTGCCGTGATGGTGTCTATCCTCTGGCCCTCCCTCTCGGTCGGCCTTGTCAGCTTGAGGTAGCACGCTCTAGCTATCCTCTGGTTTCCTCTGGCGTAGCCGATGCCGTCATTGGTGGGAACTTCAGACATAAGTGCTTCATGGAGATGATGGCCTCTAAGTCCTCCAGCGCTGGCCGCCCCAAGATCAGGTTGTGGGCGCACTGGAGGTTGACCACCATGAACTCCATGTCAATCTTGGCATGGTGAGGACCCTCAACAGACCAGGCCTAGGTCTCACAGAACTCCTACCAGGCCACCCTCCTCTGGTGAGCCTGCAGTAGATCCGGCTCCCTATTTTGAAGCTGCCCTACAAAAGAAAAGAGCAGCAGGCATACCTAGACCCCCATCTCCAATAAAGAAGAGCACCAAGAAGAAGAAAGTTTTCAACTTCACTGAGTGGAGATTGGGTGGCTCTCAGAACATTGACAGAGCTCAATTTGAAGAGATGAAGGCTAAAATGACTCCTACCCAACAACAGCACCTCTATCTGGACAAAGATGGTGCTGTCAGAGTTAGGTATGGAGGATCACTTGAAGAAGCAGAAGAATGGTACAAGAAGAACATTGTCCCAGGAAAGACCATACATGAAGGTGTCCTCAACTATTTGGACTGTAAGCTTTCTCCAATATGGGCATCTTATCAAAGGTCTGGCAATCTGTTCAAAATCAGAGCTGAAATAAACGAAGAACTGCTCAGGCTTCAAAGACTAGAGGAAGAAGCTCTACATGCAGCTAATCTGGAGAATGTGTAAGGTTTAAACTCTGTAAAATCTATCTAATAAAATCACATCTCTGCCTTCTTACTTTGAAGTGCTTTTCCTCAAATTCTTGTCTTTTTGCCTTCTGCTTGTGTTTGTTTATTTCTGTTATATTCTGCTATCTGAATGTATCGTACTCTTACTATTTTCCTATGCCAAGTTGCCCACCAAGATTTTAATGGAAGTTTTAAACTTAATATTTTTTTATGGTGAAGGCACTTCTCTGGAAATAGTTAAAGGGTTTTGGCATCATCAAAAGGGGGGAAATTGTAAGGAATAATTGTAATTAGATTTTGATGATGCTAGATTAATTAGGACTTTAGAGTACCCCTTTAGAAATTATGTATTAGAATTTCCTTTGTAAAATTCTTAGAAGTATTCGACTTGACAGAAGACCTTCAAGAGCAGAAGGGCTTCAAGAGCAGAAGGACTTCAAGAGCAGAAGTGCCTCTTAAGGCATTATTGAAACAGAGGACCTTTGGTTCTCTGCTCCAGAACAGAAGTCCTCAGGATCTCTGTTAGTCTTGACTCTGACAGAAACCCTTCTGGGTCTCTGTTGGATACTCCCAACAGAAGTGCTCCAGGCCTCCTCTGTTCTACTCTCAGACAAAGACACCAGAAGGTCTGACACTTAGAAGATTTTCAAAGAACCGGGAAGTCAACTAAAAGATTCCTTCAACGGCTAGGAGTATGAAACGGAAAAGCTACAGTGCATGCATTAAATGCTCATTTAATGCACCCCATGCTACGTAGAGTAATTGCAGATGATTGGCCGCAATGTCAGGAATACTTTATCCCAAAATAGTAACCCGCCAACTTTATCGGGCTCTACTAGTCAAGTCAACTGATCGCGCATTAAATGCAGTTGTCCTCCTACTCCACCAACGGGAAGGCAACCTCAGTATAAAAGATACACTACGAAGAACAACCGGATAACTTTGCTACAATTTTGCTATAACTTTTCCAAGATTACATTGCAACGTTTGCTAACCACAAGCAAGATATTCAAACTCTGAAAAGCAAAAAGCCTCCTTGAGATTCAAACTCATTATCCTCTACAAGAGAAGGCAGAAGTTGGAAAAATACTCTTTCCAACTCAAGCAAAGTTCCAAGTGTTCTTCAACTCTTCAAGCTCATCACATACAAATCTTTTGTAACGAAGCTAGTTGGAGGAACCCCAGTTTCAACAGAAACTCTTCTTGCTACAAGAAGGACGTCCAAATAACTGGAGTAGTGAAGTGGTGATACTTCAAGGAAACTCAGTGAAAGGACCAGTGTTAAAGGAAGCCAGACAGTGCATCCCAGGACACATCTAGGCTTGAAGAAGACGTGGAGTGCTTCTTAAGTACTAGGACTAAGGCTTTGTAAACGGCAGTTTTTACAACTTAGTGGAACAGTGAATTAGAGGAACGAGTTGTTCCTTGAACCACTATAAAAATCCCTGGTGTCGTTTACTTACTGCTTTTAATACTTGCACTTAGTTAGAACTGTATAACTCCTTGGACTTGGTATCTGTGTTCAGCAGAACTTGTTCTACGAGTTAACAGAAGGCCTACCGCCTATTGCTTCTCTGAGGCTAACAGAACTCCCTACCAGAACCCCATCCGCTGCCAGTCTGTTCTTTCAACAGAACAGGCTATTCTGTAAATCTGATACTTAGTTTAAAAAGCTAAAAACCAATACAGTCTATTCACCCCCCCCCCCCTCTAGACTGTATCCAGTATAACCGGGACCAACAAGTGGTATCAGAGCCTCCTTGTTCTAATAATCTTTTAGGTTATTTGTTGAACAAAGATCCACTTGTTTTTCTGTTTAACCTCATTTCTATCTGATATAATGGATCACTCCTTGTCCAAGAATCTTATGTTTTCAGATCTTAAGTTTGATGACTGGAGGATCCGGATGAAAGCTCATCTCTGTGCCCTGCATGATGAAATGTGGGAAGTTCTTGACATTGGCCCCTTCACTAGCTTCCAGAAGGTCAATCCTGAACATGCCATAGACAACACCAGACCCCAGATGATTAGCAAAGCCAAGTCAGAATGGACCACTGAAGAGAGGAGAAAGTACAACCTAGACAATATTGCCAAGGACATCCTCTACAAGTCCATTGATGATAGGTACTTCAACAGAATCAAGAAGTGCAAGACTGCTAAGGAAATCTGGGATACTTTTGAGCTCATTGGAGCTGGTGATGAGCAAGAGAAGGACAACAAACTAACCATAGCCAACAAGAAGTTTGATGACTTCAAACTTCTCCCTGGTGAAAGCATCTCCAAGATGTATGACAGGCTCCTCACTCTCACTGGAGAGATCTCTGAGCTTGGCAAGGATCTCACAACCAAGGAGATCAACCTGAAGGTGTTGAGGGGACTGCCCTCAGCATGGAAGATGAAGGTAGTTGCTGTCCAAGCCAGCAAGGATGTAAAGACTTATCCCACTGATAAGCTCATTTCAGATCTCAAAGCTCATGAGTTTGAAATGATTGAAGAGAAGGAAGATGTACCAGAAGAGAGGACCACTACAGCCCTCACTGCCAGCACATATAAGGTAAATGATTTTGACCCTTCAGTACTTTTATCTGATGAATATATGGCTGCCTTTGCCAGGAGATTCAAAAAGTTTATGAAGAATCCCAAAGATGGAAGGAGTCCATCTTTCAACAGAAAGCCATACCAGAAGGTCAAATCAACAGAAAGCAGTGGAGAGCTTCTCTGTTACAATTGCAGACAACCTGGCCACTTCAAGGCTGACTGTCCCCATCCTAGAGTGTCCAAGAAGCAAGGACAGGATGGAGAAAAGAAGAAGTACGAGGACAACTCCAGAAGAAGAAAGGCACTTGTGACAGAACAACTGGAGAAAGACCCTCTGTCAGAAACAGAATCCAGTTCTGACTCAGATTCTGATGAGGCCTTCTGTTGCCTTGATACTGAGACAGAAGACCTTTGCCTCATGGCTCATTCTGATGATGAGGTAACATCTACTTCTGAATCTAGTTTTTCTTCGGTAGGCTTAGCTTTTGATTCTGATTCAATGTCAGAATTTTGGGAAGAGTTTAAGGCCATACAAGCCACTTATTCTTCTGTAACAGAAGAAAACAGTAAGTTGAAAGCTGAAATTCTTGACTTAAAGAAGGAGGTTGAGATCAAAATCAATCTTCTAATTGAGGAAAGAGATCAACTGGAGACTGAAAATGTTTCTCTTCTTAAGAGAATAAGAGAAATAGAGCCTCTCGAGATTAAGTACAAAGCTTACCAGAAGGCCCAGTCTTCCATGGAAAAGATTGTGCTTGATCAACAGATTGGCACTGGTTTTGGTCTTGGTTATGGCTCAACAGAATCAGGTGAGCCTTCTGTAATGCCTAGCACCAGAGTTGCTAAGGCAGATAAGGTCATAGAGCCACTGATTTCTAGCCCCATCTGTCAAGCTGGTGTATCTGCCACCAAGGTTGTTCATGAGGAAGTCAGACCAGAAAAAGGCAAGATAAAGGTTCAACAGAAACCCTTTTTGAAAAATAATGAACCTGGCAGAAAACCTAACAACAGAAGAGGTTTTCAAAATAACAAAAATAAAAGACCATTCATTGACAGACAACCTCATGTCAATCGTGCCAGAAATGATCACCGGAAGGGCAAATATCAAGAGAAAGTTAACTTCAGGCAGAAGAAGTTGGCTGGTCAACTTCAGAAGCCCAAGGTTAATCGTCCCTCTGCTCTTGATAGTATATGGGACTTCTTTCCAACAAAGAAAGCTATGCAAAAGTATGTAAACAGGAAGCATGACCCTCACAAGCATCTGCCCAAAGTGAATCACACTTCAGTTTACTATAACTACCAGGTGGACAATGGGTACCACCCACCAAGGTTTCACTTGATGAGACCAAAATGGTACCAACTACCCAGACTCCATGACCCCCCAGGACCCAGCATTGCTTGGGTACCTAAATCTTTCTTTTGATCTTGCAGGAACTGTGTGCTGGAGCCATCTCTGAACAAGAATGGTTTATTGATAGTGGATGCTCCAGGCACATGACAGGTGACAGAAGTTGCCTAACAGAGTTCCAGAAATGCAAAGGACCTAGAGTTACCTTTGGAGGTAATGACAAAGAAGGTCAAACAAAAGGAAGAGGAAAGCTGATCAGGAACCAGATAATCATTGATGATGTCTCATATGTCAAAGGACTGAAGTTCAACTTGCTAAGTGCTAGCCAATTCTGTGACAAAGGCTACACTGTTGAATTCACAAAGGACTTCTGCTATGTGAAGCATGAGACAACAAAGGAAGTGGTTCTTACAGCATCAAGGAAGAAGAACATCTATGTAGTTGATTGGAACACTGCAAAAGATGGAGTTTGCCTGATAGCCAAAGGAGATTCAAAACTGAGCTGGGACTGGCACAAAAAGCTCAACCATTTGAATTTCAAAACAATCAACAAACTGGCCAGAGAACACATTGTAGAAGGGCTACCAGACATTGTGTACAAGAAGGAGACCCTCTGCAGTGCATGTCAGAAAGGCAAACAAGTGAAGAATTCCTTCAAACCCATTGCTGGAGATCTCTCTACAAGTCCTCTAAATCTGATTCACATGGATTTATTTGGACCTGTTGAGACTCCAAGTGTTGGTGGCAACAAATACACCCTAGTCATGGTTGATGACTATTCGAGATATACATGGACTGTTTTTCTATCAAAGAAAAATGAAACTCTTCAGAAGTTGCCATCTCTGTTAAAGCAACTTCAGACTGAGAAGAACTTGAAAGTGAAGACAATCAGATCAGACAGAGGAACTGAATTTGTCAACCAAGTCATAAAGGACTTTTGTGATCAGAATGGAACTTTTCATCAACTTTCTGCCGCCAGAACCCCTCAACAGAATGGCGTAGCAGAAAGACGGAACAGAACTCTAAAAGAAGCTGCAAGAACAATGATTGCAGAATTTGGATTGCCTATGAGATATTGGGCTGAAGCAATCAACACTGCATGTTATACTCAGAACAGAAGCATGATCAACAAGAATCACCAGAAGACCCCTTATGAACTCTGGAAGGGAAGAAAACCTAACATCAGCTACTTTCATGTATTTGGATGCAAGTGCTACATTCTCAACAATGGAAAGGAGCATCTGAAAGTATTTCAAGAAAAGGCTGATGAAGGAGTCTTTATAGGCTATTCAAACACCAGTAAAGCCTATAGAGTACTCAACAGAAGGACCCTACATGTTGAAGAATCCATACATGTCAAGTTTGATGAAAGCATCTCTGTTAAAGAGGTAACAGAGATTCTCAAGGAAGTCAGCATAGAAGACAGAACACCAGAACCAACAGAAGAGGTGGCAGACAACCCTGCATTTCCAACACCTGCACCAAACCCCCTTCTGTTGAATGAAGATGAAGACTCTGAAGATGAGGAACCAGAGAGACCAAGACAGCAGCTGACAGAACCAGACCTAACATGGTTAAGAGACCATCCCCCTAACCAAGTGATTGGTCAAATCAGAAGTGGAGTTCAAACTAGATCCACATCAAGGAGAGAAGCAATGCTTGCCTGCTATATATCTCAGATGGAACCTATGACA